CTCGCCCAAGGTCGCCCAGTGGATTTATACGACTGAACTGAGATTCGAATCCTGGTCTCCAGAGTCGCAGTCCAATGCTCAAATCACTCTGGCTCTCTTAGAACTGGGGGATACCTCACTTAAAATGAATTAAAATGCTGTACCAGTTGCTCTGGATCTTCCAGGAAGATCCTCAGACCTCCAGGGCCAGGGTACTCTGGGCAGCCCCTGGAGTATCCTGGCCAGTGCAGACAGTTCCTTGGTTAACACAATCCACAACCTGTTTCAGTGCTGTAATACACATTTTGTAATACATAGGCAAGATCTGTGATCTCTCACTTACTTACTTGAAAGTGGCAATCTTTATAATTCCTATTTATTTAACATCATCCAAGTGCTGCAACATGCATTTTGTAATACATATGTTGGATCTGTGGTAAGCCCATTTACTTACTTGACCCTCGCAATCAAAGATGTTAAATAAATAAATAAGAAACAGCACAAAAAGCCCATTTTGGCAAAGATACATGACTGCTTTTTCATAACTGCTGCACAGGTGTTCCCACCCTGGCAGGAATTTATGGAGACAGAAGGCAGGGGAAAGAAATAACAAGTCAATACAGCACCCAAAGCCCCTTCATCGTAATGGCTATTACTGGGTACCAGATTTTTATGTAGACAAAACCATTTTTTGCAGGGTGGGGAGTTACAAGTTGCCTGCTTATCCATGATGCCCATTTGTCTCTATGAAATAAAAGATTTCAGAGGGGGAAAATGGTATTCCACATTGACCTGGGAATGAGAATAAGTCTGCTAAAACTCAATTGTGCTTATTTCTCCACTAAGAAACATGGAATGATACTGTAAAACCCCATGCATCTCAATGGAGACATATAACTCATTGAGTTTAACCAGACTTCATTCCCAAGCAAATGGGATTATACTGTAAAACGAAAGCCAGCATGGTATAATGGTTTGAAAGCTCGGCTACAACTCTGGAGACCAGGGTTCAAATCCCTGCTTGGCCATAGGAGCCTACTAGGTGACCCTGGGCAAGTCATGATAGGCTCCTCATAAGTCGGAAACAATTTGAACTAAACAAGACAGCAGCTTTATGTGTTGCAGAGGATTCTGGCACATACAAAATCACACAACACAGTGAGCGACGAGAACTGAAAACAAGAACGAACAGACTCCAGGCTTCAGAGATTTACTTTGTTCTTGTTGTTTTTAATCGAGATCCACCAACCGGAGCCTAATATAAAAGGCATATGCTTAAGAATTTGTAGATAAGGAATTTGTATGGCGTGCCAGAGATGAAGGGAGCTTACAATACTTCCACAAAGAAATCCACTTCCTGGTTATCTTCATTTCATCAGCATAATATTATGAGAGATGTGGGTAGTTTTTTGTTGTGGGATTTTTTTTGTATTGTTTTGTTATTACTGTTATCAAATAAATATGAATTAGAAATCCCTGCTATCTACTGGAAATTATACAGAGATGTATCAGGAGATTCAGCTCTACCTTCTACTCACCCCTGGCCTACAGCCACAAACTGGGACTAGACTTCCTCCACTGCATGAGGCTCTTAATTTCATATCAAAAGTCTTCAGTGGCTGCATCTGCACTGCAGAAATAATCCAGCTTGACACCACATTAACTGCCATGAAGTCAAACTGCTTTATTTCTGCAATGTGGCACCAGCCCACATGTTCTTTACTTAAAGCACAGTACTGGTCCCCATCCACCATTATTGCATACAAGATGGATGCATCCTTCACTAAGCAACAGAATGGAAACTGCTCCTTCTTGCACTTACTGGTGCAACTGGAGATATGAGGGCTGGGGTTCATGCAACCTTAATCCTTAAAAACCTTTAAAAACCTTAAACCTCAAAAAGTTTAAATAGCTCCTGCAAAGAAACTGAGAAATGGGAAGGCCCACTGTGAATGTTAAAATCACTAGATTCAAATAAAGAATGAGGTGTTTTACCTTCACAGTAAGTCACTGAAGTAACAAAACACATTCCAGTCATTAAAAACCATATATTACACAGGTAATTCCTGTAGTTTTTAATGACTGGAATGTGTTTTATCCATGATCATTTTTTAAGCCTTCCTCCAGAAAGTTTATACCTGCGCTCACATTTGTTCCCCAATTCTGTTTAAAACAGGAAAACAAATTAAAAAAACAAATCAAGATGGTTAAAATACAGTTCTCCACTTTCAAAGAAGCATTCTTATGACTAAAAGAGCCCTGCGCACATCAGGTTATAAGTTTACTATCAATGGTAAATTATGTGTTATGTTTTATACCCTGCGAAATCGCAGATATGGTAAACCTCAGAACCTGAAGCCTATAGAACTCAAGATGGACTTTGTTCAAAAGTGAACGCCTTAACAAATTAACACATATATTTTTCTGTTTGTTAAGGA